CCAATTTGGTCGCTCAACTTAAGGTTTTGCACAATTTTCATCTCTCAACTTTTTTTTGTACTTTTTTAGTCCCTTAATTATGAAAAATGTATTTTTTTTAGTTATTTCATCAATTAATCCATTAAATCCCTCTAAATCTATACATTTGAAATTTCTCAATTTCTAATGTATGCAAATTTTTCATTGAACTAAAAGTATAGATTTAAATAAATTTAACAGATTAATTGACGGAAGACAAACAAAATGTATTTTTTATAGTTAAGAGATTAAAAAAGTGTAAAAAAAGTTGAGGGATGAAATTATACAAAATCTTAAAGTTATAGGACTAAAATTAACATTTAACCTTAATAATTTTATAGACACTCAAATTACATTTTTAATATATAATTTATCTTATAAAATATAAATTCCATAAAATAAAATATTTTATAACGTTATTCTATTTGTCCTTATGTTCTGGATACAACAAGGACACGACCAATTCGAGGGAAAATATTTCCCAGCTTTTTCTGTCAAAGAAGTGGGATTAAGACCGAATATTAAAAAGTTCCAAACACTACTATTCATCAGAGCATCCCATTGGATCCGATTGATGCACTGTCCCTGTACATGTATGTCATCCGAATTTGTCCCGTTGGTTTGCTTCATTTTTTTTTATTTACTGTTAGTTGTTTTTATGATAATTTTTAGATATTTTAAGATCTTAAACTTAATTTTAGAAGTACTGACATATAGTTAGAATGGTTATTTTTTTTAGTTTTTTAATATTTTAAAAATATTTAAAATATTTTTAAAAAATTAATCTCAATTTATATTTAAATATTAATATTTTAAGTTTTTAATTAAAAATATATTTTAATATATTTAATTTTAATATTTAATAACATAAATTTTGAAATTTTTAATTAAATTTTAAATAAATAAAATAATTTAATATTAAAATTATAATTTATTTTAAAAATTAAGACTAATATATATATTTTTCTAAATAAAATACCTGAAAACCTAATAATATTGACGTTTAGTTCAAGAAAACAAACTGACATGCAGTAAACGTCGGGCTGGTCTCTTCAGTCTTCACAGTTACCCTATGATTTGGGAATGATTCTCGGAAATCTTGTTCTCAAATATAAACGCCAAGATCAAACAGCTGGCATTGAACATGAAGCAACCCGAATTATATCATCCCTTCAAAAATATTCCAAAGCTTCTCTTGACCGATTCTAATTTACATCACGAAAATTTTTATTTTGCAGATTAAATTGTAATAAATTATAAAATGAGTGGTATAAAAATAATTTTGGTTAACTATTACCTCCATTGACATTAAAAGAAAAAAGAACCAAATTATCCTGTCTGATAATTTTTGCCCAATTTTGGCAACAATTTTAAGGAGGAGGATTTTTTTTTTTTTTTTTGGTGTAGTATTAGTCAAAGCTTGAAAGGTAAATCATTCACACCAGACTAAAGGATGTATGAGGAAATTATCATCTC